CTCAGATTCGCTAATCGCAAGGTGGTGTTCTAGATCGTTTGCGCAGTAGAATCAAGAACGTCAATTTCGAAATGTTAAAGTTTTCTGCGAGCTTGCTTTGCTGCTTTATTTCTTAAAATTAATAGCATTCGTGCGGATGCGCCTTCATCCCGCAAGCACATAAAGAATCCTAGAGCACTTTAGCGTCATTCGAATGGATTTTGCCGAAGAATAACGACTCTTACATCTACTTAATTCAGGGGATCGAAATCTAAATTCAAAGCCACTGGACTAAAGACTAGTTTGCTGTCTACAATTAAGGAAAACAGTCATCTAACTTTTGCTTAGAAAAACGCTTTTGCTAAGACAGCCATCGCAGTTAGGTGTTATTTATTCGTAGACATGGGTTTCTGGAACCTAAACCATACCCTCGATACATAGAGCCATGTACCCTAGTAACCTTTGCTTTCAGACCCATGAGAGAATACGACCTTCACCTGGGAAAAAACATAAGTCATTCGGAGCAAAGCCCCAGATGTTAAGATCATAAACAAATCGGAATAAATGTGAACAAGTATAGGGAACAACATCTTTACAATATCACAGCAAAACCGAAATATTGCGTTTTCAAGACCCTTTTTAGGCCATAAAAAAGGTTATTGTAGAAACTTTCACCAGAATTCAGAATAGCGAATCTCACATAACCTCTTTTGAGGTTACGATTTAGTTTCAAAAGTTCACGAAAATTACTTTATTCTTATGAGCGATTTCCAATGCAATCATGTTCCTGTCTTGTCATGGCGACCAGAATGAATACAGGGTGTCCCCAAAAAAATATGCACACTGTTTGATCGTCAATAACTCGCTTGCCTCGATGTCTCTCGCCAATCTTTAGGTACCATTCTGTAGAGCAAGATTCAGTTTATTGTTAGTTTTGCAGTATGAAGCGAAACTCCGATCTCTTTTTGCTACTGTAAGATTATGGTATGAACTTTCAACACATAGCGCCACTGTGAATTGAGCCGTTCGATAAAAAAGTCTCGAAAAACTCTAGAAATTGTGTAGTAGGGTTTTAAAACATGCTGATTTCATCGTGCAACTTCAAAAATTCTAAGCCTTGTCAGAGCTGTAATCACATTTCTAAGGAGCGCTGGAAAAGCAGTTGTTACTGTTTTCCTGAAATAATGAAGGAAGCATGTTCGTGGTGTACCAATTCCATATCTGTAATCAGCGACTCTAATTAGCCTAGTAGAGAAGTTTCTGGTTCGTTTGGTTTACTTTTCGGAACGAAATGCGACTTTTATGGCTCGAACCCTCTTCAAAGTTCCAGCCGTAATCCTACAGTAACGAAGGAAGATGGGAGTTTTGCTCCATAGTGAAAATTTAAGTTGAAGCGAGCTCTACAGAATGGTACATTGAGATCGGCAAAAGACATCGAGGCAAGCGAGTTTTTTACGATCAAACAGTGTGCACATTTTTTGGGACACCCTGTATGATGTTGCAGGGTTTCGTTGAGACCCGCAGAATCTACGACAGAGCGAAATGCCCCATCGGCTCTCGATCTCCTTTACTCATTTGCGTCTCCGCGCGTTGCGCGCTACCTCGCTACCTCAAATACGGGGCACGGGTCATTTGGCTCTGGTTCCCTTTTCTTTGCTGTTCTGAACCAAATTCCAGCAAACTATCAATGCTATATAATATTTGGCTCAGCCACTTTTTGTGTGTTCGAACAAAAAGAATAGAAGGATTTATGGAATCCGAACACATAATGTATGGCATGGGAAGTGTATTAATGAGCCTTTTTGCTCGGAGCGTTTGACTTTATCGATTTTTTGATTTTTTGCAGTTTTTGTTTAGCAAATTTTGTATGTTCGCCCGAAAGGATAGAAGGGGTCATGGAATTTGCACCAAATTTGGCAGATATAATGTATGGGGTGGGATGTGTGTTAATACGCCTTTCTGCTCGGGACACACGTGTTGCCCCTATTGACTTATTGATTCTTTCGATTTTTGCTCAGCAGAAAAGTCAGAACGTAACCCAGCCATAGCAAACGTGCTGTATATCGTAAGACTCGTCTTGAAACGCCGATCACAATTGCATGCTTATCTTATATATAAAGCTGAATGTCTGTTTGTATGTCTGTCTGTATGTCTGTATGTCTGTATGTCTGTACGTATGTTCCGAATAGAAAATTCCATTTCTGAACCGATCGGGACCAAACTTGGCACACATACACTTCGGGCCCCGGCGGGTGTCATAGGCTACTTTTCGTATCGATCGATATCGATTTTATCGATTTTTTGCAAAATTTGAGCTACGGGGCTGGGAGTTGGCATAGGGGGGTAAGTGAGCATGGGGATTCCGAATACAATATTAGTTTTTAAAATCGTGCATTACTTTTATCGATTTTATCGATTTTTTTGCAAAGTTTGAGCTACTGGGCTGGGATTTGGCACAGGGGTGTAATCGAGCATGCTGATCACCCCCACGGGAGTGATCAGCATGCTCGATTACACCCCCTGCCAAATTCCAGCCCCCTAGCTCAAATTTTGCAAAAAAATCGATAAAATCGATAAAAGTAATGCACGGTTTCGAAAACTAATATTGTATTCGTAATCAGCATGCCCGATTACCCCCCTGTGCCAAATCCCAGCCCCCTAGCTCAAATTTTGCAAAAAATCGATAAAATCGACATTAATCGATAACGAAAAGTGGACTGTGACACCCGCCGGGGCCCGAAGTGTATGTGTGCCAAGTTTGGTTCGGATCGGTTAAGAAATGGAATTTTCTATTCGGAACATACGGCGGAGCCGGGTATGCCAGCTAGTTACTGCTAAGCGACTACCTGGAGGAGTTGTGAGCGTCTAAATGTGCGATTTGTCAAGTGTTCTGTGGCGCATGTTTTACGAAATAGGTTTCAAAAACAATTATTTTGGTTTTTGGTAAGTGTGCTTCTTCCTTATAGTCGAAGTAACCTAGCCACTGTAGATCCGCGCCATCAGGCTGCCTTTCAAGGAAATGTATCAGTCGAAACTCAGAAAATTCCTCATATTTGGACGCTAATAACTCCTTCCAGATAGTCGCTTCGCAGATAAAAAACGTATATTTGAAATGAGCGTTTAAGACGAGTCCTATTATATACAGCTTGTTTGGAGTGGCTGGGTTAAGTTCTGACCATTTCTTTGTCAGAAAAATTCCCGCCTTGAATAACAGAGGAAATGAAATCAGTCTAAAGACGCATGTGTTCTGAACACCGCAGAACAGCATAAGCTACTTTTCGTAGCAGTCTGTTCATTTCTATTGTTTTTATTGATGATTTGGTTTCGATGGAATATGTCATATAGCAGCTTTGAACAATTTCACCAAATAGCTAAACAAGAGGGATATAGCTCATTTCATTTATGCGGAAATGCAAGACGTGTGATTATAAGTACTTTGTTCAAAAAATACCGATTGCTTCCACTGACTTATTGATTTTGTAGTTTTTGCTTGAAAAATTTTTGCCAGCCCAAGATTGAAAAAATTATGAGACTTGAACCAAACTTCGCACACATGAGCTTCAGGGCGGGCAGGTGTCACTAAGCTTTTATCGAAAATAATCTGTTGTCGTTTTTGATTCATTGACTTTTGGCGTCTTTGCTCAGCAGTTTTGTTATGGTTAGCCCAGAAGGCTAGCAAAAGTTGTGAGATCTGAACCAAACTTCGCATATCTGTTACTTCAATAAATGACTTTCTCTATCTATCCTTCATCAATTTTTGCATCTAATTTCTCGATAACTGACTGATATTTGACTACGCATTGATCCCTTTCTCAGCAGGATTCATCGACCAGCTAAGTTCATCGACAAAATCGGAAATGTCACACACCCACAAGATCTAACATGACCACCAAAACCATCCAATGACAATCAACACCCTTATATCCCCCTTATATTTTACTCATACCATGACGCTTCTCATATACTGTACCTCCTTTGAATGCTTTCACTTCCAACACTGTGACATCGTCATTCACCCCTTACAGCATGGGACACATCCAGCAGTGCGATTTTCTTCACATTGTTGTCTTTCAGTGTTTTCGCAGCTATTTTTTTCCAACTTGAGCACTCATTGCTCAGAATGATGAGCGCAACAATCAAGACAACGTCGAAGGAAACAGGAATGACAGTGATTGAAAGGATGCATCAAAAGTAGGTTGGCTTATGCATTTCGACATGAAAAAGCAAAAACTTGCTTTAAGCTTGCTTTGCTACACCACTTCCGAAACATGGTTGTTTTTGAGACACTCACAAAGAAAAATTTGCTTTTCCTGGTTTTCTCCCGGGTTATGGATTGGATTGGCTGGTCGGAGCGAAAACCTGCATTTCGCAGTGCCACGAAATCAATATTATAGACTCCAAATTCATTAGCTTTTCTATCCGGTTTTGAAGAGTTTCTTTTACTCTCGCTAACTTTTTTGCATCTTTTTTCTTTTTTGCTTTTCTGTAAACACCACTTTTTATGAGGGGCAGATGTTCAAAACCTTCAATTTTGAGGTAGGTCTCTAGACTATCGAAGGTGTGACCTAAACCAATTTGGGCACATACATTAAGATACAGTAAAACAGCTGGTCATAGGAAATGTCATAGTCTCTATTTGCCGAATACTGCAAATGAGTCAAAAATATCAACTGCGTCCTTATTATGAATAGAAATTATTTTAATGTTCTAGCCAAAAAAGTCATCTATTGGCTTAATAACTTCTGCGCATCTAAACATATCTCACAATTCTACAGTTAGGAACAAAGTTATTTGATGATGCGAAGCAACTTTTAGAAGGTAGTCAACGAACAGCATAAATTGGGATCACCTAATCTTACTGCCAAGATAAAATTTTCTCTCACGCCAAGATCCGATGTCAGCTACAAAAAATCCTACGGTTCTCACATCCTACGGTCCCTTCGTCTTACTATAGACACGTGCAAAACTTATCATGGGTAAAGCTATGCAGTAAGCTATTCTATGTATGCATGAAAAAGACGTTTGTATCAACGTTCATTACAAACTGCATTTAACAAATATTGAACAAACTTGATAAAATACGAAGATATTATAGTTCTTGCCCATTACTGAGGAACAGTGTTTGGCGATAGCTTACAATCGTATTACTGCATATGATTAGTTGTGATTAGAGGGTCTAAGACGATAGATCAAAAGCTCTCGACCCGAGTGTTGTGTAAATAATTCGAAAAGCTACGGCAATCACACAACGACGTTACTGATTACAATCAAAGTGTCTGTGGAGGTCTATCTACATGATGCACGGGCAAACACACAAAACGCTCTTTGCATAAATAGTGGGAACCGAAATTGACGTCTACATGATGCGCAACAGCAAGACACTTGGAAACAGAGTATAAACGGACGACTGAGTGTTCGCGACTGAGTTGGGCACGCACTCAACCAGAGGGGGCCAGCGGTACATATAAAAAAACAGAGCGGTGCATAAAATAGGGTTAGTCAGTATATTAACGAAATACTCGATTATCAACAACGGGATTCGGACACGTACAACAACTGGGCGCAGCAGCGCCACTCGCCGACGGCACCGGCGCGGCTGCCCCACCAAAGACAAGCTGAGCAGACGGCGAGGATCAGTTGTCTTCGAAACGGACACGCTTCTTGTCGCCCGTTGTCGCCTTCCGCGGCGGCATGTCGCGCCCGATTAGCGGATCCACATCCGCTATCAGCTTGTGCAGGTCCGAGTTCGTGCGACGCGACAGAGGTCGCATCAGGACCACCTGGAAATGTGAGGTTTCGAACGAGTTTATACAACAAGGCTTTTCAAGCATGACATGTTTGACAGCGCTTACCCTTTGCTTTCCATCGCTGATGTAAAGGAATGCGATGGCGACCAGGATCAGCAGTGAAACTGCTGCCAGTACCGAAGCCGTTACCGTAACCCATGCCGAGCGAGTCTCGTCCTTCTCCATTTGTGGATCCACAGCACATCTACGCGCAGCCGTAGCAAGACATCCGAGCACACCTGAAACACATACTTGTTAGTGGAAGAGATCTAGGTAAAGTAGCCTTACCATCTCCGACATCGCTGTCTCCTGCTTTCTCCAGCCATTCTCCAAGCCATTCCTCGCCACATACGCATTGCCACGCATTTGCTGAAATGTTTGATGTCATTGCAAAAAAGTTGCTTCTTACTGCTCATGCGATTTGGAATCAATAAAGGGAAGATTCTTTTGTTCATTACGATATCAAAATAGAAATAATTCCAAAGCTTTTCGAGAGGCGTTATTAAAGCCAAATCCCGTCATTTGAAGATTTTTGGTGTCGCGTCTCTTCCCCCCCCCCTCTTCTATAGAGGACGTATGAGTGTAAAAAACATTTTGGTCTTTCACTGTAATCAATCTACACGATTATACAATAATTAAATTATAAAGGCAAGAGGGAAGAGTAAGAGAGAACAAATATGGGAAGAAGTTTCCCAGACGTGGTTTACATCTATTCACAAACTTTGAGTGATATGGTATTTTAGCGTTGCTGACAGTATTTGCGCGTGAAAATGGCCTTGGCGCGCAAAACAAGGAGGTGTGCCTACTAACTTTTTACATGCAAGCTTTGTCAGCTAGTATAGCAATCTTTTCCGCACAAATGTTATCGACACTATAGTACCATTTGATTCAACTGGCTTGGCATCGTCAAAGGCGGGGCTTCGTGACCTAATTGAGGCTAGGTGATCAGAGAGCGCTCGCGCGAAAGAGACGCAGGTGCGTCGCGGGCGCGAGCGGCCTCAATTAGATCACAAAACCCCGCCCTAATGGTGCCAAGCCAGTTGAATCAAATGTTACAGTGATAGCTAAATTAAGTAGACCATTTAGTGACTTATTTATATTATGCTCAAGGTGCCATACCGATTAGAAAAAGTCCTATAAAGCTTAGCGCCATCCGCGATTAGACTGGGCGAATCGCGTCACTCAAATATACATAATAGCTTTTATTCAAATTTTCAATGGTAGAATTTATATCTTTTTCTTCGTTCTTCGTTCGCCATAGCTAGGCTTTCTTCACAGAAAGTCGCCTTTTCACCCTCGGATAGAACCTGCTACCGCGGCTGTCCCTATAACCTTACTCTTCATAGTTAGCGGGATACTATGTGTTCCTGCGTTCGATGTTACGACATTTTTTCAGTCTGCATTCATATAATCAGCTACGTGTGACCTCAAGAAAAGGCGTCTTTTATCTGCACGTCAATCAGCTATTTGACTTCGAATTAATTTTGAGGCTTTCCGCTGATTGAGATGAACGATGAAGTTCGCTCTAAACATGCCCCGGATTTTCTAAACCCGCTTTCCAATAAAACTATGGAGAAATTCCGGAGAGGTCTGAAGGCAACCTAGCAGACTTGATAAGAGAGGAATCAGTACAAAGTAAATTTCCATCTTATGAAATGAGCATGTGCAGAGGTGCAAATTTCAGCAATTATTACTTTGCAACTGAAAAATCCTTAACAGTCGCCCAATTTTCAACTTCATAAAGCCTGGAGTTACTTTTGCGACGTTCTATACCGTGTTTGCTAACAGGCTATTCTACTGCTACCAGTTTGCTCTACTACTGTAAGTTTAGAAGTGGTGCAATTACACACTGTGAAATGCAAAGACTGCAAATTGAATTTTCTTAGGATTTTATGCACTCTGGTGTAAGTATTGAGGAGAGCTCTTGATCAGTAGTTTATTGGCAATGGCAACGTTTCGATTTTTAAAATTGTCTTCAGGCCTTGAATTACAACATAAATGATATATGAAAAAGAAATACAAACGGCGCGTGTACCTTCATCTTCTTCTCAGGTGGGAGGTAGAGAGGGGTGGGGTTGTTGCGCGTTAGTATACAGTAGCAGTGCCCTCCTTCTTTGGTAAGTCAGTAAAGAATGAACTCCAGTCGCTTGCACTCAAGTAATTAGCATCAAAACATCTTTCATTTCTTCTTTACTGTTTATTTGCGGGCTATGCTTACGTATTTCGTAAGCCTCCCTAATTTTCCTTTCTAAGGTGTTTTCCAAGTTCCGATGTAGAACAGTCACTTTCAAAGGCGGTGCTTTCTGCATAGCATGTTTGAGCGTCCGATGCCTTGAAAAACTTTCTCTCGGATAGGAGGCAGGATTGAGTAACGCTCTTCTGTGCTCATCTAATCTCAACTTCAAAGGCCTTCCGCTCTCTCCTATATACTTTTCGCCGCATCCTTGGCATTCGATCATATAGACTGTTCCTCGTAAAGAACAGATTTTCTGTTCTTCACAGTATTGGCATCCATCGAATTTTCTTTCATAAATTCGTGTATTCGTGAGCATCTCCTTCAGAGTAGGAAGTGGTGAAAACGCGAGCCTTATAGGGAGTCCCGTCCCCTTGACGATTTTGTTCAGCTTCCAAGCGGATTTTTCTCCTACATAGGGCAGTGTTAGTGTGATTCCGTCCGGAGCTCTATAGGGTCTCCATGTTTTGGGTCACATTGGTCGGTACCCATTTTCGTCGAGGATGGTGTTAACGGTAGAGTCTATTTGATTATTTGGAGATGAGCATAGTTTTTCCTTCGTTTGTAGAAAATTTCGGATCACATTGGCTTTCATGTACTGTGGATGGGCGCTACGTGAATGTAATATGATGTTACATGACGAAGGTTTCTTGTACCAGAAATATTCGACCGCACTCTCACTGATTTTAACCTTGGTGTTTAAGAATGGTAAAAATCCATTCTTCGCAGGTGTTTCGATAGTGAATGAGATATCCTTGTCAACCGTATTTAATCTTTCAAACATTGTTCTGACGCTTTCTTCAGTATTACCGACGACGAAGACATCATCTACATATCTCTTGTACAAGATTATGTCTGATGTTAACGTAGCTTTTTCGATATGATCCAAGAATACTATTGCAAGTAACGGTGCGATCCGATTTCCCATACCCAATCCCCTTCTTTGTTTGAAGATCCTTCCGTCAAAAGAGAAAACGTTGCATGATAATACTGCGTATAGCATGCACCGTAAATCATCGATATTGAGTGAAAAAGTAGCAACATGGGTTCGATTTCCTTCCAGAAGGGCTAACACTGCATTCACAGCATGATCGTTGTTCACATTTGTGTATAAGGAAACTGCGTCGTAACTAGCATATGATGCGGATACTGGTATTTCACATCTTGTAAGAGTCGACAAGAATGCTTCCGCATTCACGATGTGAGCTCCCACGAAGCGGAGCAATGGAGCCTCCTATCCGAGAGAAAGTTTTTCAAGGCATCGGACGCTCAAACATGCTATGCAGAAAGCACCGCCTTTGAAAGTGACTGTTCTACATCGGAACTTGGAAAACACCTTAGAAAGGAAAATTAGGGAGGCTTACGAAATACGTAAGCATAGCCCGCAAATAAACAGTAAAGAAGAAATGAAAGATGTTTTGATGCTAATTACTTGAGTGCAAGCGACTGGAGTTCATTCTTTACTGACTTACCAAAGAAGGAGGGCACTGCTACTGTATACTATCCCGCAACAACCCCACCCCTCTCTACCTCCCACCTGAGAAGAAGATGAAGGTACACGCGCCGTTTGTATTTCTTTTTCATATATCATTTATATTGTAATTCAGGGCCTGAAGACGATTTTAAAAATCAAAACTTTGCCATTGCCAATAAACTACTGATCAAGAGCTCTCCTCAATACTTACACCAGAATCCAGCATGAAGCTCAGAGATAACACTATAGTAAAATTTTATGCACTTCTTAATTTATAAATTCTGATAGGCTATTTGTTGCTCTCCACATCAGTCAAGCATGTCAAATCAATTTCTCTCCAAAGTTATCGCTTGTTTGTTTTCCCACAACTGCCTACGTCATCGGCAGAGATGAGTGTTCAGGGGACGTTCTTATCGCTCTCGTTCCCCGTGCTGTCTCAGCGCACCCCGAACCCCCGGTTTCTCTTCCGATACCACTCTTTCTTTGCGACTGCTGCAGCTGTGTGCGTTTGCTCACGGCAGAGTGTGCCAGGGTGTTACGGGAACAACGAGGGACATATCGAAACTGAGTAAACTGGCAAGCTAACAACGGTCTAATGAGACGATGCTGGTATCCTCAAAATGCTTGGTGATTGCAATTTTTCGATATGTAATTGAGGTTCTGAAAAATGCCGAAAAGCATTTCATAGACGCTGAAGATAATTTTACCAGACTGGAAATCCATCAAAAACGCCAGAAAGCTCAATTCGATAAGCTGTTACAGAATATTTACAAGATTTTTTAGATTTTGAAAATAATAGATGAACTCATTTCGGTCAAGGGAAGACAAAAATCAAACTTATGCTATCTTGACCTAACTACCGTAAGTTTACCGTAACCCTATGGAAAATTCCATAATTCAGACCTAGTCTAAATACAAACCCGATAATTTTCCTTTGGATTCCTATAAATTCCAACCTCTTCGGAAAGGATATCTTGAAGGCAAATGTAAGAACACCTCATCTCACTACTTTCCCCGTCCCTCTCCCCCTCCCCATCCTCTCCTTTATCAGTACCCTTTGGTTCAACTGGCTTGGCGGCTGGAAGGCGGGGCTTCGTGACCTAATTAAGGCTAGGTAGTTATCAGAGAGCAGGCGCGCGGGAGAGACGCAGATTGCGTTGCGGGCGCAAGCGGCCTTGATTAGGCCACAAACCCCGCCTTCCAGCCGCCTAGTCTTTTGAATCAAAGGTTATATAATTTAGCGCATAATCCGAGTGACTCACAAGTAATGTCGATAGCCTCCAAAGTGTCAAAAGAAATCGAATCGAATGTGTGCCGATGTAGGAATGGCAGTTTGTTGTTGTTAATGAATAGCTTATGCAGAGACATCCCTTCGAATGCTTTGACGTCGATCTGGAAATGATTTTGCTTGGTGAAGGCCTCAAGAGCCAGGATAAGGAAACAGACCTTCTCGAGAAGGTTGTGATCAGCGGCTAGAACTGTCAATGTCCGTGGCAGATCGTGCTCACCGATTGAGCGAAGCTGATTGCCAGATAGCAGTAGTGTTGTTAGACGACGAAGTGGACGAAGATATGATTGTCCATCTAAATTTGAAGCATGGAAACGGTTGAATACCCTTCAGGACCAAATATTATATTTACCCTTCGTCAGAGATGTCAACTGATTATTCTGCATTGCTAATACATTGAGATGTTGCACGGGAGAGAGCGCACGTTGCGATATCTAAATTGATGCCATGAAAGAATTAGGAATTTGAAAGAATTAGGAATTAATTCAATAATAAATTGTCACGCAAATCTGCGCCAAAAATGTTCAGTGGAGACAGAAAGAGGTTACAAATTCATGCAAAAATACATAAAATCTTGATACAATCCAGTGAAGCTGACGATAGTTTTTGGGTGCCAACAATTTCTGCGCGTGAATGACCAAAATGAACTCAAAACTTGAAAATATGAGCTCTGCAGCCATTTCTTAAGCCTAAGTTGTCACTAGTAAACACCGCATTATATCCGCGAAAGTGCTGTCGGCACCGCAGAGGCACTATGACTGTCAAATCTTCTACTTCAGTTGTAGAAATTTCATAATACTCAGTTTTTGCATCTCTGCCCATCTCATCTCCACCACATTCAGCTTCAATTTATAAATTTTATTTCATACCTGACTGATATTATTTGCAGCTATAGTCAAGCTTTCCAATCGCGTACTTCTCGCTAGTCCAGAAAGGTCTCCGTCAGCAATTTCCGAAATTGAGTTTCGGTCTAGTGATAGAAGAATGAGTGATGGAAGATCTCTGAAAATATATGAATTATTTTAGATCATCTTCTTCAAGGGGCAAAGTTCACCTCAAGCTGACACTCTTCAATGAGTTGATGCTGTTGTTGTTCAAGAATAGTTTCTGGAGATTCTCTAATCCACGGATTTCAACCTAAACATCATAAAGTTGCACGATCATTTACGATGGAAGGATAATCTGTCTGAATTGCAATTATGCATGCGGCCAGGCACACGCGCGAGACGTTCGCGTACGGCCGATAGAGACGCGACGGGCGCTGCGCGGCGTACGCGGGTGCGGGTGTTCCGATCGAATGGGCACACTGCTATGAGACAGACTGTAGCAAAGACGAAAAAGTGGTGCTTACGTTGCTGGCATGGTTGGTACCGAGGTCAAGGGTCCTTAGCTGCTTTAGATTGGCGAAAGCGGACCAGTCGATACTGGTAATTTTGTTGTTCTGCAAATTCAGCACTTCTAGGGAATCGAGTCCTTTGAACATGTTCCTGAAAAGATTCTTATAGGGAAACCAGTCCGATATGAAAAAAGGCAGTATTGATTACTTGGTGATTGTGTTGATCTGATTCCCGCTGAGACTCAATTTCTTCAGCGATGTCAGCTTCGCGAATGTTCCATCCTCGATGGTAGCTATGCCATTGTCATTCAGTGACAATTCTCGCAAATCAGGGGTCAAATCGAAAACCCCAGTTGTCAATGAGGTGATCCGATTTCCTGAAAAGGATAGAATGGGATTATGTGGTGTTCGGAAGATGCATAAAACCTACCCGAAAGGTCCAGCTCGGCAAGACTTGTGAGCCCTTGAAGCATCGACCTGGTGATGGCTTTGAGATGGTTATTCCTGAGGTAGAGGCCATGAAGCCGTGGCCCAATGGTTCCTAAGGCATTTTCACGCAAAAGTGCCAAGTAGCTCCTTTCTATGGACAGATACTTTGGTTTGACCTGAAAATCATATGAATCATATGATTGCATAAAATCAAATTTCATGAGCTAGTCCATGAATTTCTTTTGTAAGTTCGTCGAATAGGCAGCTTTGATGTTTTTGGTAAAACTTATCAAGCCAACGTTATAGCATGAACTGTTATCGAAAGCGCACAAACGCTTCCCAAACAATTCCCTGCAGGTCAAAATTATCAAGATTGTTCCTAAGATCTTACTCCCATATCCAAATAAGTTCCTCAGCATCGTTTTCCCATAATCATATATAACTTGCGTCCAAAGTTGTACTAAGGCTGTAATCAGAATGCACTCTCAGAACAGCATATCCTAAGAGGGTGTACTTTTCGAAATTGAGTCTGCTGCAAGATACCCAAATTTTAGCCGTTTGCTTTTGCATCCTAATTCCACTTCGAAAACGGAGTAGTTTTCAATTTTTGTAAGATGTAGCGTATACCAAAGCCAGCTTGCTTATCAATGTCTCCTCGCCGCTTCACCCAAAATGAATTGCGACATTTTTAGAAGTGAAGATTAATGGGACTTTGTAAGCTAAGCAGTCTGTTTCTATTTGTAAATAACTGACATAAACTTCTAGATATCACAAAAAGCGAACCACCTCCCGAAAATTTGTTGAGAAGCGCGACTGCCATCGTCCACACTTTCCCCTTAGAAACAGGGCTTAAGGCTCGCAAAATATGAGCAATTAATTCAAAATAATGAATGGAGTGGCGAAGCCACAACAGTTGATTCCAGTTAACTTGAAACAAAAAATCCGATATTTCCCACGTAGAAAACCGGGGCCGCTATTACCAAAATTGCCCATAGTGCGGAAACTGCCTAATATTTTACGGTACTTCCGTCAGTCGCAGTGTTTGATTGAATTGTTATTCCGTCATGTCATTAAAATTTTGAGTTTTTGTAAAAAACTGATGAAACAATGAAAAGTCCAGAAACTTGCACAAGCTGGTTTACTTCTTAGCTTCAAAACCGGTCATGCGGAGAAGCAGAATCTTTTTTGATTTTGTCGCCCAATAATATAAAACACCTCTAGTTCAGGTACATGTAGATGAATTTATTTGATTTACAGATTCCCGGTTCCGGATGCCACACCAGAGGGGAAATCGCGGTAGAAAAGATGATATGAAAAGTGACCGCTCTAAATGTAAAAAGAGAAAGTAATACATTTAAAAATTAGCTTCCGTGATTTTCGACGGTTTGTGTTCTACGTAATTTCGTATAAAGTTACTGGAAGTAATATGTCAGAAAATTCAATATTTTGTCCATAATTTTTTCATTATTTGAAAGATTTTGCCGTAATCAAGCAATTGATTTTCTAGGCAAACCAACCATATTCACGATAAAACCTCCTTTGCAAAAAAACGGCCAAACCGAGCCCTTCTTCGCTTTTGAAATGATATAGCTGCCTGTTGACAACACTCCCCCCCCTCCCCATTTTCACTCTTAATTATTTTATGCTTGAACTTATGACTCGCGGGTCATCGGTGTAATTTAGGTATAAACAGGAAGCTTATTACTGAAATTTCTGGTTGCAAAGAAATCAAACTGCTAACACTCCCAGTAATCGCAAAAATTTTTTTGGGAAACATGGCTTGTACATATCATAATAGATCAGAATCACTCCATCATTCCTGCTTCCACTAACGATGTGTTGCAGAAAAATTACAGGGGAGCGAGCACAAAAGCCTTGCTCATCCATTTACTTTGATCGATTTGCGTAAAAATAATCTTTACTTACCTGATCGAACATATCAGAAGGTATGATAGTGATGTGACAGTCCCAAATACGAACTTTGTCCGGAAATGACTCGTTCACGGAGTGCAGTGCTTTCGAGATGTGAGGTAGCGTCTGACCAGAGCATCTGCAAAAAAAGTCATTTAGCGAGTTTATGCTAGAATTTATCTACTAGATAGAAGCCAATCGTCAGGTTAATCGAGGTTAAGTGAGACAGTGATTGCTCATATCTCAGTAATATGCTTAGTCAAATATATTCTTTGATTAGTCCCCCATTAGACAGAAAATAATGTGTAAGCCATCTCTAAGAGGCATCGCATTAGACCTTATAAATAGGCTATTCCAAAAAAGCACGCGAACAATGAGATACACCTAGTCAAAAAATTGCTTTCGAGCTAATTTGGCTTTCTAAATGAGAAGAAAATTATGGTATATAATGCAGAACGTAATTGGAGACGCACGTGAGATATTTTTTCCTCAGTTTCCAACTGGTTTTAATTTTCGTCATTGAAAAACTTCTGAGCAAGATTTTCCCAGTAAATTCATGAAGAGACGGTAAGCATCTGGTAAACATCTCCATTACAGCCACATAAAAAAAGGCCTAACTCCAACCACACAAAGTGGCGCCAGAAGTTAATTCTCAAGATTATTTATGGATCCTAGCAATAGAAAAAATTGGACTTCGAGCTTTACTGTAGCTAATGGAAAGCAGTTAGAAAAGATAAATGATCTGCGTAATTCAGCATTCTCGTAGAAAGCATTTCAGACGTTCCCATGGGATCCGCTTCGCATTGCACTTCGATACTAAAGAAATTTATTAGTTTTGCGAGCTGAAAATGGAGATCATCTGGGAGATTTCCAAAGAATAGCCTGCTTCAACGATTGTGGAGATTATCGGCTTTATGGAAATTCGCAAATCAGACTTTTACACGCAGCTGCAAAACTAATGTCTTCAGAATCATATTCCCTATTTATCAAGTTCCGTTAGTAACTAACGTCAGTGGCATCTGTCTCCTTTCCCGTCCCCCCCCCCCCCACCTCACCCCACCCCACACATATGTATAAATTTTTTTTTGGTACTTTGCATGAGCCATGAATTATACAGACGAGTTTTACTAGCACATTTCCAAATATTTCAAGAAATTTTCAAAAATTCAAGACGGCGGTAGTTTCAAATTTTGGCGGAGTAGTAGAGCCTTTGAAAATCTCCCCGCCCTCCCCTCTTTAATTCCGGTAATAGAAAATGAAATTTTTCACAAGGGTTCTATGAGTTGTAAAACACGATTGAATTAGCGTACCGTAAATGATCGAAAGAGGTTTTCAAGAAATTTCAAAAAATTTAAGTTGTTTTCGCATGGACTTTTTGGCCGAACTTCTGAGAACTTTTGCGTCGATCCTTTCCATTCTCCTAGAGAAAAGGGGTAAATTGCATATTGTTTTGTTTTGTGGTAAAACTGCGCATGTGATTTGCTTTTACTCCCAAAATTTGAGGAATAAAACTCTCAAAATTTCTGGCGGCTTTTTAACGAATTTTTGGGCACCATAATTTTGAGAAGCTTCTCGATGACTCTATCGACGTCTCCGTAGAACCTTTTGTCGCCTCCCCCTCCCTCTAGCATGATCTCTAGAAACCTCTGATGACCACTTTCTAACAGCTTTATGATTTTTGCTCTGCTCAGCCAAATCTGCTGCATGATCGCCTAGCAGACGCACAAGATTTTCCTACAAATCACCAGTGCAGAGCACAGTGTGTCGTCATTCCTTATGCAAATACGCGGTGCATCTGTGTGAGTTTACGTCGATACCGACGAATGGCTGCGACTGCGACCAAACAGCCGAGTGCCAAGCACAAAATCACACCAGCACCGCAGAATCGCAACTTTCATCATCATTGTTCGGCATATGAAAGGAGTGGTTCTTCAGCTGACGGCAAGGCAAATGACTGAGAGCCGATATCGGTGAAGGATAGGCAATTGGGTCTGCAGAAACAAATGTTCTCTGCACTACCGATTTTTAGCACCAGCACAGCGAACTTTTGACAATCATCGAAAAAAAACCCTCAGTACCCCGCGAAGAGACGCGCACGAAATTTTTGGCATGGTTTCTTATGATTTTCGTCGAAACAAGTAATTGTTTTCTACTCTAATGTTGGCAATCGAAGCTTACGGAGCTGAATTATGGAAAAATCAGCACATCAGCCACAAGGGTCCACGAGAAATCAGATATTGGATTTTTCAAAAATTGCCAGGGGCGTGTACATTGAATGATTGAAGATGAAGTTCAGACAAAGTGGGTACCTGAACTTTTTACGTCTAGTATATAATAATACAGAGGTAGCTAATACTCATGCGGCACCTAAGATCCATTCGTGGTCGAAAAACTTAAATCTCAACTCAAGCCCAAACCGCTTCTTACGGACCAATCAGCGTCCGCGAGTACGCTAGAGTGTACGGTATGGGCAGGAAATTAAAATCAAAATTTCAACCACGAATGAATCGTATGAACGTTTCATCTCAGCAATGGTTTGGCAATGCTTCCAGCATTTTCGAAATAAAACCGAGCTATCAAAATTTTCCTCAACTCTATTTTTGACCAACATTAAAATTTCGACCCCATTTATCCATTCTCCCGAGAAATACTGTAAGAGCTGGCTTACATGCGTTTGTTCTCCAACATGATATAAAAAGACATAAAGCTAAAAATGTTGCCAGATGTCATTAAAGAGATTAAGTACGTCACACCCTTATCCTTGATTTTTTGCATCCCTCGCATCACATGTCATCTCAATTTTCTCATTATCTTTTCAGCTTGGCGTAAAACTTGTTAAGCAAAAATGTATGAACAAATGAACCTTTGACGAAAGAAATTTTGAAAACAAGCACAGAAGCTTTAGTTAGAAATAGTGGTGCATGACATGAGTCGGACGAATATAGAAAATCTGCTCAGCTATAGTTGACTACGCAAAAAACTTGCTAAAGCCGCTGTCTTGGGTCGAATAGCTGAGAAAAAGCAGGGAATAATTGCTCTACACATATGCTTCACACCTTATGACCGTTGCGTTTTTTTTGTAAAGCCAGTGTCAAATAGACCGCCAAGAAAAAAAAACTGCCACAAAGTGCCGAAAAGCGTTTCTCACCATTTAAACGTATGTTCAGGTACACATAAGCAGATACTTTGCATCTTTTGCATCTAGGGACCATTAAATTGCCCGCATTAGACATTGTACGATCTATCAAGGCCAGGTGAACCACATTACGCTGAGACTTGAATAAAACAACCCCAAAACGCACTCACCCGATTGTGATTCCATCGATCGTAGCATCAAAACCTTTGTTAAAACATTTGCATGCCTCCTGAAATGAATTAGCTAAAGCTTAATGGCTATCATTCAGGTTTGATACTAGCCATAGACACGAAAATGATTTCAGAATTTGAGTGTTCTTTTTGCAATTTTTGCCTGTAACTGAAAAATGTTTGCAAAGATAAGTTGAATCTCAATATACAGAGTGTCCGTAAAGTATGTATACACTGTTTGATGGTTAATATCTCTTTTCCCAAGAAGTCTTTTGCATTGCTTTAGGTACCACTTTGTAGAGCTGGCTTCAACTTAGATTTACAGCATGGAGCGAATCACCCGCCTCTCTTCATTACTGTAGGATTACGGTAGAAACTTCAAAGAAGTTTTTAAGCCATGAAATGCCATATTTTGCCTCAGAAAGGGAACAAAATAGCCTGAAAACTTTTACACTAGGCTAATTAGAGTTGGTAATTCTAAATGTAAAGTTCCCAACTTATTATGATGCTTCATTGAAGAGTTATGCCAGGTAAGAGGTAGCGGCCATTTTTTCAATGTTGCTAAAAAGTGCCGTTACACCGGTTAAAAAGCTTCACAATCTTGTAAATAGTTGAGTATTGAACTCAGCATTCGTAAAAACCCTATCATACAAGTTTTCACATTTTTTTGAAAAATTTTGGAACGGCAGCTTTTTCCCCATTGACACCATATGTTTCAAGTTTCTACCGTAATCCTACAGTAATGAAGAGAGATGGGTGATTCGCTCCATACTGTAAATCTAAGTTGAAGCCAGCTCCACAAAACGGCACCTAAAGCAAGGCGAAATACTTCTTGGGAAAGGAAATATTAACGACCAAAGGGTGTATACATACTTCACGGACACCCTGTATGTTCGGGTGATGGGATACTGGTGTAAGGTATATCAGGCTACGTCACCGATCACTTAATCGATCGATTTTAAGCATTCGATTATTGATTAGATAAAAAGTGGGACGTAACCTTGACCCTAATTCTATAGAGAATTTTTCAGTCACAAAAAGCGTAATCATCGTTATCAAATATGCGTTCGAATCAATTTCATTTATGATCTCACCGTTTTTCAATTATAGATGACGCGATCTTTTCAAAATTCAGCCATTTTTGATTACTAATTTCTGGAATAATTTTCAAAAAAAAAATTGTTATGGTCTTCACATTGTACGCCTTGATATCTTTCTTTGAAAAAAATTAGCAGTGAGCACAACATACCGTCTCGTTAACATCTGTGGCGGCGCGAAAAGCTTTATCGATTGCATCGCACTCGAGTTCTGCGCGCGTAATCGCGATTAGAAATACGAAAATCGATAATCGCAACATCAGCTCATCTGCTGCTATTTTGTGCCTCTGTAAAACAGAAGAAATAGAATTTCACGAAGAAGCAGCAAAAATAGGATCACGAGTTCGGGAAAGATCTTTACAGAGTAAAATATTATATGTGGGATATATATAATGAGAAAACTTGAAGAGTGCATGTATGTAGGGAAACAGGACCCTATTTCGATATGAGATCTAGAAGAAAGCCCTTTGTTCGCGTTTGCAAAGTGAGCAGCAAGCCGTAAAAAATGCATACGAAAAGCGCAAATGGAAAAAATGTCCGATGGAATTTCCGGACCTGGTCAAAGAGGAAAGCGCAGATGACCATTTTCCCTGTGATAGAGCTTACACATCTATCACATGGTTTGTTTTTCCGGAAAATAAAAACTGAACGCGAACAAACTGTGAGGATGATGATCGAGCAGCACAATGCGGGAAGGGAACAGAGAACCATACACAACGAGATAAGGATTCGGAGGAACATTTGGACAGATCAAAAAAGGGAGTTTTTCAGAACAAGCTGTCAGCCATATTTTAAGTGACTTTACGTACCAAAAATCTTTACTAATTGAGAATAATTTCAAGAAATTCCTGAGCTAGCGGAGTTTCACGAAAAGACCTTGAAAAGTGTTCTTGATCGGCTATCGCGATCTAATTTCCGCTAAGGTATGGACGATATCTTCTTCTAGAAAGAGTCTGTCGTCGCTTCTTCGCTTCATCAACGACATTTCTGATAATCTATGACGTGGATGATATTTTCAGAAAAAAATTAGGTCTCCAAGGACGAGGAGAAACCATGACCGGTCATTGGGGCATTTCCAAACCGCACAAATTATCGCCTGGCAGATGGCAAACAGGATATCCCACAGCGAAAAAGTCGATCTGCTAGTGCACATAATTCGTCTTCCAGTCCTGCTTAGCTGTTTCCTGTAGTGGCGGTCCGAGAATTTTTTCGGAAGCGGGGGGGGGGGGGGGACAAATGATTCTGGTGAAAATATGGGGAAAATGAAAATTAATAATAAAACATTTAAAAAATAAAGTAAATAAATTTTTACAGGGCTAAATTTAATTTTCAAAATTTTCCACAAGTTATTTCAATCATTTGCAAGCAAAAACAATTCTTCTGCACGATTTTTCAACTCATGTAAGCTTGAAAAATTCTTGAGCCCCTCATCCTTCATTTCCTTACTGGTTTCCTGCTCAACTTAGTTTTAGCAGGATATCTCTCCTTTGATTTCAAGAGAAATAATTATGGTGAAAAGTTATTCCGGCAAAATTTAGTTACAACTTGAATGCACAAAGATTTTGAGTAGAATTTTTGGGACCCCCTTTCTTGACAAAAGCAAGTACAGCCCAAAGCTATCGATAAAAAAACTCGTATAAGCATTTCACTTTGGAAATGCACACTGGAAATGCGCCACAAGTAGTGTCAACAGAAAAACGCGTTTCGAAAAATGGAAACGAAATTGAAAAAAGCGGGATTTAGGTGGGCGAATTTGGCTGCAAGCGGGAGACAGCAGATGTCGACAGATCCGCTAGCATGAGGATTCCTTTATGATGAACAAGTTCTACAGATTTTCGAAGGGATGAAGCTGATCAAACAATTAGCGAGCACAGCATGGTCAACTGCGCAAAAATCTCGACGGTCATCCCATCTTCAGCTGAATTTCAGTTCAGCTGACGAGCCAAAAACGACATAGTGAGCAGGAACCAGATGCCGATGGGAAGATGATGGCGGTGAAAATGTGAAGACAATTCATCTTCGGCAAAACAATCCAAGCAGCGAAAGATTCAGATTCGCTTTTTCAGGCGCTAACGTTGCGCAATCGCGATGACCCGCTACGATGACACTAAACGCGAACCTAAGCAAATCGCGCGCTTACCTGGCCAAGGGTAAACTCTGCCGACGAAGGCTTTCGAAATTGGCAGAGTGCGAGCAGGGGTTGGGGATCTCCAATATTCCGAAAGATGAAAATTTTTCTAAGGTTGTGCTGGGCCAGAAGGAGCTGCTTGCGAAGCTTATTACTAAACGTAGATAAGATGATCTGGTCTAGACCGGATGGCCATACTCATAACCTCCCCCACCCTTCGCTTCTGCCTATCCCAAATTTCAATATGATTTGGGTGACTTAGCGTTGTCAAAGGGTTTTTTGGCTGTGAGTGTCTCGTGGCTCCTAGTTTGATGACGTTCGATATGTTCTCATCATAGCAACAATGATGGGCAAAAAGAATAAAGTGGATAAATGTGCATGAAATTGTCAAAAGATAGAGGAGACTGAATCAGACACAAAGGCAGACGGATTAAGTTAAAAAAAGAACAGGATATTGTTTGGCCAATTTTTGTTTTTGTTAAAAAGAACTATTTGCCGGGAAAAAATGTGAACGGACAAGTACATCAGCATTGCAAAAATTCCGACGAGACCTCAGGATGTACTATGCTTTGCAAGAAAAGTGTACAAGAAGTTCTCTGAGAAGTACAAACAATGACGAATAAGCGTTTATCAGTGAAAGTGTGGAAAGTGATAAAATAAGACTGAAATTCAATCCGAGATATTTTCTAGGCACGTGCTGGGCAGAGATGACATGCAAAAAACGGGCACGAGGCCGTTTGAGGAGCGGGTCTCGAGGAATGGCGTAGAAAAACGCACGAAAAAAGCGTACAAAAGCCGTGCGCAGCGGATGCGACGGTCGGATTGGGGAAAAAAGCCACGGATGATGAACATGGAAGGAAAAACGACGAAAAAAGACAGAGCCGTATCGATCAGCACAAGCACACTGTCAGCTGATCTAGATGTTCTCCAGCTCGGGCCGGCAGCAGTCCGTGCTGGCCTGCGCCTGGTGGTCCGGCCGGCGTCCGCGGCTGCGCCCTCCGCCCGTGCAAGCGAACCTCGGCGGCCGGCCGCCAGCCGCTCTCCGCGCCCGGCGCACACTCTGCGCCCGTCTCCTGCTCCGCCGCCTCCCGCAAGCGGCTGCACTCTCGCCGCCCCGACCTTACGCAGCCCTGACCTCCGCATTGTTCACTAGACCCCGGTTGTGTGTGATTTCGCCAGTCATGGCCACCAAATTTCGCGGGGTAAGCCAGGCACGCGGGGCTTTTGCCACCGCCCCCCGACTAGCGATTTTTCTACCACTTCCACTCGTTCGGACAACAAACTTCGCTTTACGTGCAAAAACACAGGTGCATGTGGTGCGAAGCAAAAAACTAGAAAAACTCCAACAGCGTCGAGAAAACTTCATCTCTCCGCCGCGAAGGTAACGCACAAAGAAAGAGCGGGCTGGCTGGAAAAGGCATCACTCAGCAAATAATCGCCAGACTTTTATCTGTGTTATTTTTCTCAGCTGCCCAGTAACCGTTAGTCACAGCAATTAGCGCTTCTTTGGTCTTTCACTACGGAACACTTTTTCATGGGAACATAAATCAATAGTGCGAAAAAATGAAGCGTGCGGCTTTTCTTCTATGCAGGGTGTTTGGAAAATCTCTCTCCTCAACTCCCGTCATATTTTGACACGTAATTTGTTCTTTCATATTCAACAAATGTAAAGATTATCAGATTATCAAAATACAAGGTTCCTTTCAAATGTCCTCAATGTTTTTCCTAGGTGAACACAACCAAGCAGCTTTTCACACTTGATTTCACGTTGATTTGAAATGCTGTTTGCAAAAATGAACTTTTAGAGAGATCTTCATGTGCCATATACCTTTTTTGAATCTTGTATATGCTTTTGTTTTTGAAGAAGTGAGTTCGTTTCAAAATACCGTGCCTTGAAGTACAAGAGAACATATAGATATGTGATAACATATAGATATTCTGACTATTTTGAAAGAGACATAGTTTAGAATTTCTCGAAAACATTTTTTCTACAATTTTGCAAGCATATTTCAAAACGTGCATAATGGTAGCGAAAGAGTAGTGCTACAGATGCATACCAGAGCAGAAGGAGGGGGGGGGGGAAGCTTCCAAAAAAATTATGGAATAAAGAAGTATCAATACACTCGTGCAATAGCTTGCGGTCGTGCGGTCGTTTCGCGCCGCAAAAAAATCCGTTACCACAAGTTATTGCAGAACTTTTATAGTACGCGGAGAGGGTAGACTCAGGAGGACAGGTAATAAGAAAAGAAAAGCTGTTCTAGTTTTTCAGCTTTAAAAATTAGAATAAAATTGGAACATGCTCATCTTTTTAAGAAAGCCGAAGAATTAATCACAGTTTTTCCAGAGTATTCCAGCTTTTTCCGTTGATTGCTCTCCGCAGCAAACACAATAAAGTAGAAGGCACGAAAAATAGCGTTTAGTGCAAGAGCCCAGAAACTTTTTGAACACTCTCTGGTCCATAAATGCGTCATGCCTATAATTTCGGCTATCCTTTGCGCGTATCACAGGAACAGCAGATGTAGAAATTTGGTACCGCGATCCTCAATCTGGAAAGAACATGAGAGTAGAATTTAATAACTACCACTCGTGACTCTTAAGTCCGTGAAACTCGCATTCGTTTGAAAAAGTGGCATAATAATTGCGGAGCCTTTCTCTAGTATATGATTATCAATATAAAATTTTTGAGATCGAGCCGAAAACTTTTGGCTTACTTAGCTTGTCATCAGGAAAAATTTGCGCTTTGTAAAAAACATAGGCAAAGGTAATTACAAAACGTTCTCTCTGTGCAGCTGGAAGTGCCTAGCAGTGACGGTCCTAGGATTTCCGTGGGGGGGTTGGGGGGGGGGGGGGCGGGAGGGGACAAAATTTTCTTGAATGAAAAATATTTGGGGTGCTTCTGAAATTTTTTGCGGGCCCATAACACTTGAAATTTAGAAAAAGGGCACGCCCCCGAAAAATTTTTTTTTACAAGGCTGATTTGATTTTTTTTTTGAAAATTTAAAAAATTATTTCAATTTATCAGAATAAACAAGTCACTTACATGTTTTTATAATCCATGTAAGTAGATTACTAGATTTCTCCCATTCTCGGGAGAGGGGGGGGGGGTCTCTGCCCCCTCTCCCTCGGACCTCCACCTGGTGCCTAATATAAGTGAACGGCAGTTTTTCCTTATTATTCATAGAAGAACAAAAATCAGGGATTCCAAAATATTAGGTTGTCCGGAAATTAATGCAGGTTTTGAATTCCAACCGCAATAAGTCATACACCTCTCATTTCTAAGTAGGTTGCAATACATCATTCGATAGAGCAAAGCAAGCTCTACAAGATGGCAGTTTTGATTTAGCAACAGCTCTAATCCACCACGAGTTTCGAGCCAAAAACTAAAAAGATAACTACTCAAAAAATTGAGAAAAATCGTAACTCAGTTCATAAAAATCCTACAAAAATTCTAGCTTGC